CCCGTGTAGATTCCTCTCACCTCGGGTTCGAAGATTATGTTGCCGCCCGCGTGAATTCCTCTTACCTCGGGTTCGAAGACTATGTTGCCGCCCGTGTAGATTACTCTCACCTCGGGTTCGAAGATTATGTTGCCGCCCGCGTGAATTCCTCTCACCTCGGGTTCGAAGATTATGTTGCCGCCCGTGTAGATTCCTCTCACCTCGGGCTCGAAGATTATGTTGCCGCCCGTGTAGATTCTTTCCGCCGTGACGCAGAATCCGCCGTTGCTCATCACGTCCTGCGTGGTGCACCAAAGTTTCTCGATGGCGTGCGACATGCGAGCCAGGCGCCGTTCCAGGATGTCAATCTGAGAAATTCATCATTTTTTATCAGAAACACAAAAATTACGCACAAACCACAATTTATGACCTACCTTTGCATCGATATCACAATAACTAACTCTAACTTTTAAATGGTGAAATCTTTGAAATTATTTTAGAAACGTTGAATTATGTCAAAACTATGACATTTTCCGAAAACTCATTTTCGGTGAAAATGTCTGAATATATTTTTCTCTGATTAAGGTTCAAATATTTGTGACAAACAATTATAAACCAAGCGACATCTTTCTTTGATTTATTAGTGATAATAATGCACATGCCCTGTTAATACTCAGTTAGAGTTCTCTCAGGCCGCAATAGTGATAGTGGCGTAAGTGTTGCATAAACCAAATTTTGTCTGTCGCCAATTCTTGACATCGTACAATTATTGCAGCCTCCTTGGGGCCATCTCGCAGATTTTTACCAGAACGTTGCAGGAAGCTGGGATTGAACCCGCTCCCAAGAACCAACCTTATCCTGCAAGGTCTGTAATGATGCAGGATGAACTAACTGATCCAAAAAACAACCTTATTTTGCAAGGTCTGTGATGATGCGGGATTAACTAACTGATTTTCTTGCAAGCTGAGTAGCTCGTGTCGAACATCAGCAGCGGGCTCCGGAATGGTTGAACAAATTTGTCAAGAAAGTTTACTGAACTTTATCAATAAAAAACTTAATTTTTTAGTATGTGTGCGGTGTTTTGACGCAATTTAACAACACGCTCCTAATATAGGTTATAAGATAACTATTAATGTATATAAGAACATGGTATCCTATAAATTGCAAATCATCTTCAAAAAAAAAAGTATTTCTTAGCAGATTCTGCGTACTGGAGGATTGACTTTACCTGAATAACGGTGTTGGAACATCAATGCTGAAAGCACTAGCAAGACAACAGCGATGACGAGAAGAAACTTCAGGCCATAGGACCGTACGTGAGCTACAGGGATAGCTTTATACATTTAAAAAAAATTTAAAGATATCTCTGTGAAATTATGAATTCTCCTAAATATTTAGTTGACTCCTTTTCGAGAGCACGAATCACTTCTATTAATGCGCCAGAATAAGTAATGGTTTAACTTCAAAATGGTTGACATCAACCATTAGTTTGTTCTGACTATGGAGGAGAAAGATGGATGATGATGTGGTGCTATGAGAAATTTTCGATCTTGCTAAAAACGAAAATAATTTCATTTAGTGTATTCATTTCATTTAGTCTATTCAAGTGTCGTCATGAACGAAAATTAAGAGCAAACGATATTATTATACGTACCGTCCGAAGAATGTAGAAAACTAAACTGTGCAAGTCTGATTATAATCAGACTTGCACAGATATTATAATCTATAATTCTATATTATATATCTATATATTATTAGATTTTACAATCTATAAATGGTAATCTTTAATTATAAAGAACATATGCCTGTCGTCAGGCATATGTATTGGCCAAGCATATGTATTGGCTTGGCACATGTTGCACTAACATAAATTGGAACAATTCTATTGTTTATTTTTTGCACATCTGTATTTTGTTATGAAACTGATAAGAGTTAATTTGTTTAAGTTTGAAAAACCTCTCCTATTGCGTTCTCGTGCTATTTTTAATGGTATCTGTGGCTCTACATTTATCAGAATATAGTATTATCTGCCAGAATTTACTTGTTTATACACGTGCGATTGAAGACCAGAGAATTCGTTGATTTAAATTATGAGAGAGTGGAACAATTCTTCAGATGACGTTGGTAGATTGCAAGGCAAGTTTCGGGAAATGGTTATTGTTTATTAACGACGTTTCGAATGCGACAAACATTCATTTTCAAGTTAGAAGAAGCATTAAATATTGAAATTTTAGTGGAAATAAGTACATAAAATATGTAAATATAGGATACAACAGTAATATTTTGAACCAAAATTACTCGGAAAACTTTCCCAGAGTTTAGATAAATCCGGTAGTGAGATGATTTTATTTATGTAATATATGCATTTATCACGCTGACGATAGCTGGAGTCCAATCTGTAGAGATGATGACGGGTTCAACTATCGCCGATCGGTTGTTAATTGTCGGGCCACTGCTTGATCACAATGCTGGTGAGTACCTTCAGCACAATCCGAGTGACGGTCTGGTTGTGAGCTTGTCTCATGTGGTTCACTTGCCCTCCAGTTTGAAGGCAGCTAACTAGACAGCAGCTCGGTGTCTTGATTGTTAGTCCAATCTGTCCGATGTTGTCTAAAACAGGAAGAAGTCTACAACCTTATTTGAAGCAAAATTTATAGACTACACTGGGCTCTCAGATAACTATCTCGTTTTTGCAGGGGCCTTTGTTGCTCTTAGTTTGGAATTTGACGTTGTTGTCAAGGGATTCACGAAGCCTGTTGAATCCATAGACGATTTTGAGGTGAAGTTGTTTGTTGATAATACTTTGAGACCTGGGTATGGTTGTGAGTTGTGAGCTTGTCTCTGGTGGCAGGAGAAACGGCAGTTCAATGTCGCAGTTGTTACTCCAATAACTCTAATGTAATCCATAACATGAAGAAGTCTACAACCTTCTTTGAAGTAAAATTCATAGAATGCACCGGCCTCGTGGGGAATTCTCGCTTTTTTGCAGCCGTTGTTCGGTTTAGTCCGGGGTCTGACTTTGTTGCCAAGGGTGTCTCGGAGCCTGTCGAATTCATCGACGATCTTGAGATGATGCTGCTAGATTGTAATACTTTGAGGCCTGGTCTGGTTTTGAGCTTGTCTCAGATGGTAGGAGAAACGGCTGTCCAATATCGTGTCGTGAGAATTTTCACAGTAACTTTTGGTTCAAAATTTAACTGTTGTATCCTTTTCACATATCTACAGAAATTCACCAAAATTTCAATATTTAATGCTTCTTCTAACTTGAAAATGAATGTTTGTTGTATTCGAAACGTTGTTAATAAAGAAAAACTACTTCCTGAAACTTGCCTTTCAATCTACCGTAATCTGAAGAACTGTTCCACTCCCTGATGATATAACTTAACTTTGAAACCGATCAGGTAGCAAACTTTAATTAAGCGATGCTGACATGTTATCGGTGGAAATGATTAGATGGGAACGTTATCTCCCCAATATCAGTTCAAGCTGATCACATTGGCTAGTGGCTACATATATTGTACGCGTTGCAGTCCACTTCCTGAACGAAAGAAACACTCGAGCAAATCTTATAGTATAGCTATTTGATTGAACTTTCTTTTTGCGTTTATGTTCTACCCAAGATATTATCGTCATTTTTTCCTAGTTCGTTCTCTTGATCTGTGCTTCCGTCACTATCTTATCTTGCTCGCACGACGTACGCACACACACACGACTGAGCAAGCCTGTTAGAAGCTAGCTTAAAAAATGTTACTTCATAATAAACTTCTGATATTTTCGAATACTTTTGCCGAGCCGATTAAGGCAATTATTACAAGTTTCTGCAGCTTGAATACTGGGACCTGATACACGAGACTGGAAAAGCTGTCCTTGTACTTACATATACCGAGGAACTCTTAATTAAGGTTACGAGATGCACTTACTCTAAAAAGACCGTTGACCCCAAATAAAAAAAACTACTAGAAATTAGCACATAACTTTAGAACACAAAAAACGCAAGATGAGACACAGTTACATGTCCTGGGTTCAGTCAAGCAATTTTTATTGAACTCGCTTGTTCTATGCACGGGATAGCCAAGTAACCATGCAGTAGTGCATGAGTTACTAGTGCAAATGTTCAACATCAAGTTGAACATTAGTATTGGGATTATCCGAGTGAATGTTCAACTTCAAGTTGAACATTTTCTCGGATAATCCCACAAATGCAAGCGCGAATTACAGTTCGCATGTTAAACTTGTCTAAAATGCCAATTTAAAAAAAATGTACAGTTCATCATCCTCTCTGAATGCAGAGCTCAGAAAGAAGCACAAACACGACTTATGACTGATCAGCTCGGCCGGCTCGTCGCAAGCAGCCCAATGGACAAAGCGCGGACTGCAACTGACCGGCACTAGAAACCCCGACTATCTTAACAGCGCGAGTAAAACACCGTGGATAAAAACTGTGCAAGATAGGTGAGTGGATCGTTGTTGCAAAAAAACGTGTTTCAATACATAACACAGTGAGTGAAAGAATGTTGTTTTACAGTTACTTACGAATGTTGTATGAAAGGTTCATTCACAATACGAGCACTCTTTAATTTTATTTAGAAATCATCATTGAAGAATCTAACACCGAGACACCGCCCGTCGAGATAAATTAAAGAGAAGTGTGACTCCACTCTGAACTGAAAGACCAATAAAATCGCACAAATAAAAAGCATCGGAGTGACTGGATTACAATACACTAAAAAATAGTAATACAAATAAATCCTCGTGAACACTAATTACCAAACATGAACATACGAACTACGTATTAGTACCTAGCATTAGCTCTGCAGCCTGACAACCCAGTGCGCTTCACAGGTACGCATGAGACGTTCTAGGTAACTTGGTTAAGACATACGTGACGTTCTAGGTAACTTGGTTAGGACATACGTGAATGTCTTGCAGTAATATGGATGACAATCTTACAGCGATTCAATTCTTTGAATTCAAATTGGTTGTTCAAGAGAGTTTTATGTTTCACACACTCATATTTATTAATTAGTTGTATACTTTTTGTTTGATTAAGTCGATAGTCTTGCAGACACGTTTATGCTCTGCGTTGGCAACTAATTTTCACCCGCTGGTTCAGTAAGGCGACAGGAACTTCGAGAACAATCGTAAGCAACAAACAGTAAACTTTTCACTCATTGAGGCAAGACGTGGGGTTCTTGCGCCGGAAGACCATGGACGTGTTGGCCAAGTAACCTGTTACACGAGCCTTCATACGCTTCTCCGCCTCTTCGTCCGAGACGAAGCCTCGGTCCAGCATCTTCTGCTTGATGTAGTCGTTGTTGTGGTTGTTGACGTGATGATGGCCACCCTGGCCCTCCACTGCCCATGTCAGCACGATCCCTGAACATGAATGATGACGCTCATGACGGTTAGGAAATATATTAATAAGTCAGCAGTTTTTTTCGAAGACTTCTCATTCCCTTGCTCCGAAATGGACATTATCATTATTCCCTTGATCCGAGTAAAAAACTTGACACTGTCACTATAATGTCCGGAAACAATTCTACTACCGTACCCACTATTATAGCTATGTACAAAAATCAGGTAGAATTCAATTTAAATTTATTGGTTATAATAATCGGATTTTCTCGCAGGTCTCAAGCCCAATCTGAAGAATAATCACTGTAGCAAGAATGTTCAGATTTCCTACACCACTCCAACTTCGCGGTGTCCCCGCTTCACCGGTGTTTAAAGAAAGCCTCGCTGTTGCTCGGGATGTGCTCCCCAACCTCGATGCTCATCACCCAGTCCCACTTCCTGCCGAGCCAGAGGCCCTCCTCGCTGAGGTCGGCGTGCGCGATGAAGCCGCCGCTCACCTCCTCGATGGCAAAGCCCCCGTCGAAACCTTCGGGGCGGCGGAGGACAAAATTGGCTTTCCGTTATGTCACCAAAAATGCGTGGAAATGCAGACTTTTTCATATACAGACACGATACGAAAAGAAAGCAGTATAGCATATTGAATAAATTACTTCGATTATTCAAAACTGTTTAGTTGCCTCTCGAGTGCAACAATTTTTTGATAAACACGGAACGGTTTGCGGAAGGAATAATACATTCAATTTTCTATCATACCCTGAGAATAAGAGATGCCTTGAGAAATTTTTACTTATATTTGTTGTTTTTTAGAGTATTTTCCTGACTAAATTCGTATTATTCCTACTAAATTGAGGCATGGCAAGTGATCACGACAATAAAAATTTTGGCACTCATAAAATGCAAATTTTAAGAAAAATTAATTCATCTACACATTGAAACCACGCATTTCGAATGCCTCATTTCAAATAGTTTAGTTTCATCAGAATGAGTAGGGTCATTATTAGGGCACGTAGAACTTTTCTGCTGACTACACATGAAAAGAAGAATGGAAGGAATAAACTTATATCTCAAGCTATTATAAAATTTGAATCTCATTATCAAATCATTCAAATAATGAATGCGCAAAATC